CGTGAAGGAGGTTCAACGGTTGACGGGCCGCCTGGCCGCCCTCAACCGCTTTCTATCTAAATCAGCGGAGAAGTCTCTACCCTTCTTCCAGATCATGAGGAAGACGACTGGCTTTCTATGGACTCCAGAATGCCAGGGGGCTTTCGACGAGCTCAAACGGTATCTATCTTCACCCCCTGTGTTATCCAAACCAAAGGTAGGGGAAACCCTCTATCTCTACCTTGGGGTCAGCCCGGCGGCCATCAGCTCTGTGCTCATCCGGGAGGAAGACGGCATTCAGCATGCCATCTTCTACGTTAGCAAGACTTTAAGGGAGGCCGAACTCAGGTACTCTCTTGTGGAGAAAACGGTGTTGGCCATCGTTTGGACCGTCAAGAAGTTGGGCCACTACTTTCAGGCTCACCCGGTTCAGGTCCTCACCCATCAACCCCTTGGCGCCCTCATGAGGAGCCCCACCAGCTCCTCCCGCATGGTGAAATGGGCTATCTTCTTGAGCCAGTACAACATTGACATCCGTCCAAGGCCTGCCATCAAGGGCCAAGCCCTAGCGGACTTTGTGACGGAGTGTACAGCCGCGGACGGGGAGCCCTCGGCTGCCTCGGATGATTGGTGGACCCTCTACACTGACGGCTCCTCCGCGACCAAAGCATGCGGGGGAGGGGTAGTCCTCATTACTCCCGAGGGCTTCAGAGCCTACTATGCAATCCGCTTCTCCTTCAAAGTCTCCAACAACGAGGCCGAATATGAGGCCCTCCTATGTGGCCTTCGGCTGGCTGCCAACATGAAGGCTCGACAGATCCACATCAAATGCGACTCCAAGTTGGTCGTCGGCCAAATCTCCGAAGAATATGAGGCCAAGGAGGGAAGAATGAAACAATACAAGGAAGCGGCCAAGGAGTTGCTTAAGGTATTTGAGGCACACTCTCTCACTCAAATACCGAGGGCTCAGAACTCCGAGGTTGACATATTATCTAAGCTCTCGGCCGACTCCCCCGAGCACATCTCCAAAATTGCCAAAGTTGAGGAACTCAGCCTCTCAAGTATCCATGTGAGCCCCGTTATGGACATACAACAACGCCAAGAGGATTGGATCTCAGATATCACCACCTTCATCTCCACAGGGCAGCTACCCGAGAATGAGACCCGCGCTAAACTGGCAAAGCTCAGGGCTCCTAGCTACACCTTCGAAGATGGAAGGCTCTACAAACGATCTTACAATGGCGCGCTACTTCGGTGCCTTCATCAAGATGAGGCCGAGGTCGCAATGGAGGAAGTGCACAGTGACACTTGCTCAGCTCACCAGGGACCCTTCTCCATGTCCCGAAGGCTCATTCTCCAGGGCTACTTCTGGCCAACCATGGCCAGAGATTGTGCTGACCTTGCCCGGAGGTGCACCGCATGTCAACATTTCCAGAAAGCCCCCGGCAGGCCAGCGGTCAACTATGCCCCCATCAGCACATCTGTCCCTTTTTCTCGATGGGGGATAGACCTTGTGGGCCCTCTGCCGAGGGGTACCTCCAACAACAGGTACATCATTGTGGCCATCGACTACTTTACCAAGTGGGTGGAGGCTGAGCCCCTCGCCAGTATCACAGAGGCGAAGTGCCGTCATTTTGTCCTCAAGAACATCCTCACAAGGTTTGGCGTCCCCCAGCAGATCATCTCCGACAATGGAACACAATTTGAGGCAGCCCCCTTCTGTGCCCTTCTGGAGGCATGGGGCATCAAACACACCTTCTCCTCCGTTGCCTACCCTCAAGGCAACGGGCAAGTAGAGTATGCCAACCGGACTTTGCTCGAGGGCCTCAAAAAGAAGCTGGAGGCCGAGGGCGGTGGTTGGGTGGAAGAACTTCACAACATCCTGTGGGCCTACCGCACCACCCCTCGGCGAGCAACAGGTGAAACACCCTTCTCCCTCTGCTACGGTTTTGAAGCCAAAGCTCTTACGGAAGTCACCCTTCCCACCCCAAGGGTGATCCAATATGACCCCGAGGTCAACGACAGCAACATGGCCCTCGACCTCCACCTCATTTCAGAACGCCGGGAGCAGGCCTTCATCCGGGCAGAAAACTACCGAAGGCAAGTCAAAAGCTACATCAACGCCAAAGTTCGCACCAGAGAATTCCAAGTGGGGGACTATGTCCTCCGGAGGAGGGAAGCCAGCCAACCAACCGAGGGAGGAAAATGGCACCAAAATTCGAAGGCCCCTACATCATAGCAGCCATCATCAAACCTGGGACTTACAAGCTCAAACGCCCTAACGGGAAAGAGGTCCCTAGGCACTGGAATGTACACCACTTAGTTAGATTTTATCAATAATGTAAGAGCGGCCAAGCCCTCATGACTAGTGAATATGGCCCAAGGCCTCCAATTTTGAAGAATGAAGACACATTCAAGACATCAAGAACAAAACACTTGTGAGACACCAAGCCCTCATACTGACTACAGGCCCCATGCCTCACCACGAGAAGAACCCCCTCCGGCACCAAGTGCCGAGGGCGGACACCATCAAACACCTACAACAACAGGAAAACACCATGTGTTTTCGAACAAGACCCCTCGGTACCAAGTACCGAGGGTGGGAACTCCCATCACCAACGACAAGGAACGCCATGTGTTTCATTTCCCTTCGGCACCCAGTGCCGAGGGTACATCCCCACCTTCAAACATCAAAAAGGAAAGATAAGAACACCAAGTGTTCCTACAGAAGACCCTTCGGCACCCAGTGCCGAGGGTACACCTCCATCATCAAACATCGAAAAAGAAGAAAAACACCCAATGTTTCAAAGAAGACCCCTCGGCACCCAGTGCCAGGGATATGCTCTCCTATCAGCTTCCAAACATCTGTTGGGAAACACCAAGTGTTTCCTCCGAGGGCCCCTCCGGCACCAAACACTCCAATCAGAACACCAAGTGTTCCTACAGAAGACCCCCCGGTACCAAGTACCGGGGGCTACACATCGAAACTAACACCAAGTGTTGTTTCTAAAAGCCGTACCCCACGAGGACGCATATACCGAAGGCGCCACCATCGGTGCCGGCGGCACGTAGTGCCCCCGGCCATTTGCAACTAGTGTGCAAATGAAAACCCTTCCTTGAAACGCTTTCCGCGTCACTACCCCCAGGGTATGACAGGCATGAGAAATGCCCAGGATTCGACTTTCAAAAACGGAACGCTATCCGCGTCATCACCCCAAGGGTATGACAGGCACGAGAAATGCCCAGGATTCGACTTCCAAACCGAAACGCTCCCCGCGCCACCAACCCAAGGGTGTGGCAGGCCACGGACTATGTCCAGCGCCGAGGGGACGACTTTCAAAAATGAGGCGCTTTCCGCGCCATCCCCCAAGGGGAGGCAGGTTACGGACCACCATATCTTGTGCCCAGGAAACGACCCTCGATCCCCTCGGAACTCGGAAGGTTAACCCGAGGGAGGAGAGCCATTGGTGTATTCTGATGGTCTCCTAATAGGCCCAGCCTTACCAAGAAACCAAGTTTCTTGATGCCTTCCCTTCACCACCAACCAAAAAAAGGGGGGGGGGGGTGAAGGGGAGTAGACTCAGCGAGAAATCGAAGAGTACACTCCAACAGATCACAACATGCCGAGGGCTCCCCACGGGAACACCTCTGGTAATTGAAGACTCCTATTTCCCGAAGGATACTACTCAAACAAATATCATCAGGAAACGGCTAAGTCCACTACCTGGTCACCTCCGGTCACAAAAACACCGAAGGCTTCAACAATACAAAGGGACTGGACTATCCAAGGTCCACTAAACGGTACTTCAAACAAATACCGAAGGCATCTGTTATGCACTAATACCGAGGGCCCCTAACCCATTACAAGGGACACAACTGGCTAAGTCAGACTCTACAACTTTTTAAAGTGTATGCCGAGGGCACACACTCCTCATTGGCTTTCTTCACAACAACAGGATTCCACATTTTTCCTAAGTCCACACTTTTGGAAAATGACAGCAACCGGAGGTTAATATGTCACCAGACAACCGAAGGCATCTATTACAAATCATCAAAAGCCAACCGAGGGGGACTATTCCAAAATATTTGCCCCTCGGACAGGCTCCACACTGACCAAAGGTTCAACATCTACGACACTCTGTGAAATTTTGCTTAGCCCCACATATTTGGCCCTCGCCCAAAGACTCATACAACACAAGGGCCTCACGATCACCGGAAGGGTCCTATTCATATACCCGGAGGGATCTACATCCGGAAGCTCAACATCAATTCACGCTTAGAAAATATTCTAAGTCCTAAATGCGTAGCCCCCGGGCATCCCGCAAAAGGACGCAGAGTCAGAGGGCATCTATCACCCGAAGGCGACACTAGGAAGCAGCACTTGGAAAAAATTCTAAGTCCTAAAGATTGGGCCCCCGGCCCAATCAATATTACAGCTAAATGAATATGACAGCCGAAGGCTCTGCATCAAGAAGGGATGCATCTCCCGAAGGCTCCCAAGGGAAAATCTACACTTAGAAAATTTTCTAAGTCCTACATATTTTTTCCCCGGTCACCTACTCATACATCAAGAAGGGACGCATCTCTCGAAGGCTCCCAAGAGAAAATCTACACTTGCAAAAATTTTCCAAGTCTTGTACATGGGGCCCTCGGTCCAATATTCACACATCAGGAAGGAGGCTATCGGCCGAGGGCATCCAAGGGCAAAACTACATCTGGAAATTTTTCTAAGTCCTAGGAATTGGGTTCTCAACCTAATCGCCACACAGCAATGGAACTACAAACACCCGAAGGCCCTATGGTGTGTTACATTTAGGAAATTTTTTTAAGTCTTGGTTATTGCTGAACCCTCGGCTGTATGTCCAGCAGAGGGTGCCCAACTACCGAAGGCTACAACCATATTCAAACACTTAGAAAATATTCTAAGTCCTAGACATACATTCAAAAAGGGCGAAGGCATACATTCAAGAAGAAACGAAGGCATAACATTCAAGAAGAAAGGAATCAGAGAAAACAAACCATATATACAAAGCCCGGAGGCAATCATTCAATTACAACAAAAAGGAGTCAATGTAATCGTTACAGACAGGCCGAAGCCGAAGGATCAAAGGTGTCCGTTACAACAGAAGTTTTAAATATCAACTAAATACAAATTTTCTCTGCGGCTTCAGCATCGTTATCTCCGGGGGCATCTTCCACGGCAGCTTTGGAGGAAACTTCTTCTCCGGCAGCATCACCTCCGATGGCTCCGCCCCCATCACCCCCCATCATCACAGAATCATATATCGTCGGCCGCTCTTCGCCCGGGGGGAGGGGAACTCTCACGTCTGGTTGCAATGGAGGGAGGCCGTATGCCGAGGGGTCAAACTGATCGAGGGATACGCCAAAGTGCCTGGCGAGCCTCCGGTAAATCAAATGCTGGGTAAAAAACTCACCTCCCTGATAGTAGGCGTCACCCCTATCTGTCAGCCAGTCAACCCCGGGGCCTTCTACCCAAGCATCCACCGAGGTCGCCACCACAGAGGCCACCCACTCCTTATGGCCCTCGGTCCTCCAGCCCTCAGCAAGAAACTCAGCAACTGCCTCCCCTCGGGCCTGGGCCACGGCTCCCTCCTGGGCGGTTTTGGCCTCATCGGCAGCTTTCTTCGCCGCCTCGGCAGCAACCCTCTCGGTCTCAGCCTTGCCCTCGGCTATGCCGTCAGCCTTGGCCTTCTCCGCTGCCGCCTTCGCCTCCCGGAGGGCCTCCTCCAGCTGTGCAGCATGCTTCATCGCCTCGGAGTTCTTGCGAATCAGCCCCTCCATCTTCTTATCTTGGGCGGCCTCGTGAAGGCGCCTTTCCTCGCGCCTCCGGGCCTGTTCCCCGAGGGCTATGCAAACCTGCAAACAATGATCAGAGGGGTTAGATTATTCCTCAGGAAAAAATAATACTAAACTGATAAGAGAAGGAAAAAGGAAGCAGATACTTACAGTGAGAGAGGACCGGAGGATCCTGTTCTCGAGGGCATCATCGTCATAGGTCTCGAAGACTTCCCTGTCCATCTTCGAGGTGATGCCCCGCAGGAAGGCCCTCGGCTCGGCAGTGCCGTGCATCAGTGAAGCGCCGGGGGCAAAGGAGAGCTGACGGATCTCCCGGGTTAATTCCTCCGGGGATGGATTCACCGGAGCCTTCGGAGTGACCGAGGCCAGAGGCCCATCAGCGGCGGGCGTGTCATCAATGACAATGAGGGGGGCAGCCGCCCCGACAGCGCCCCCGGCGGCTTTCTGCTTCTTGGTAGGGGGCTCCACCCCCTTATCGCTCCTCTTCTTCTTAACAGCCGCCTCGGCCTTCGACCCCTCGGTCTCCACAGCAGCATGGACGTCCCCGGCGGAAGGCTCTACGACCTTCGGAAAAAACGCGTCGGCTGACTTCTGGCCCGAGGGCCCCTTCTCCTTTGCCTGGGTCTTGCCCTTCCTCTTTGCGAACAGGGCGTTGGCATTCATCTTGCTACCTGCAAAGAACGACAACAACAAGTTAAAAGGTTAGAACCGAGGGGTCAGAGACACAACGACGAACATCACAAAAAAAATCTCTAAGTACAAAAGTCTAAAGCCCTCGGCCACTACCTCCTGCTCCCAGGAAGGCTTTATCATAGAGGGGATACTTCTCATCGGTCTCCCCAATGAACCGATACCTCAGGAACCCGAGGGCATATAGGTCTCCCTCGAGGAGGCACTCCTTGATAGTTATGTTCTTATCCCGACCCTCCGGAATCTTGGCAATCTTCAGGCCATCCTTCTCGAGGGCGGCACTCTTGACCTTCACGTGGCGCCGAAAGCGATTCCGCAACTCCCTCGGGAAAGGGCTGTCGCCCAATCTGATATAGCACCATCGCTCTCTCCACCCTTTGTTAGAAGAAGGGGCCTCGGTGAACAGTTTGAACTGGGCTATCTGTTGTAAGTTTGCGTAGCCCTCGGCAATGGTATGGCCCCCCCGGCATAGGTTAAAGCTTTGGAAGAATAACTCCAAGCTCGGTGTGACCCCCCGGAGTTTGCACAGGTTCACAAACCCAGCTATGTATGAGTGGCTATTGGGGGTCAATTGGCAAGGAACCAGGCCAGTGTACCTCAGGTACTCCCGGAGGAACGGATGGAGAGGGAACCGGAGGCCCATTGAAACCGAGAGCACGTGCACAGCTATACATCCCTCGGGAGGCCGGGACAGCACGTCATCAGGACCTGGCTCGACTACTACGGCCGAGGGCCCTACGTGCAACTGGGTGATGTAGATGTCCGCCCTGTCAGCTTGGGACTTAATCTCCAGAGCGGCGGTGTCCAGGAAGGAGTAACCCTCCGGTAGATCAACTGGCCCCCCTTGGTCGACGACCCTTACTTTCTTCTGGGGGCCAGCCTTCGTCTTCCTCCTCTTCTTCCCGGGGGCTACACTTAACGGCGTCGGGTCCAGCGGCCTCGAGCTACTTGTTTCCCCAGAACCCCGGGGGGGAAGAACAGCGACAGTGACCTTCGCCCTCTCCTTTTCCTCCTCCTCTTCAGCAACTTGGACGGCGAGGGCCAACTCTTCATCCTCGGCGGTTCGCTCGAACTCCTCCGCCTCGACCTCGGCCACCAGATCCTTCTGCACCTCGGTGGCGAGAGCTACATCACCACCACCCGAGGGCTGACTGCTACTGGACTCCATGTCGGAGATGCTTTCGTCCTGAATCGAGGGGGTCCTCGAGATGTCCTGAGAGTCACTCTGGGACGACATTATAACTCTAGCTCGAGGGTTCGGGGGAACTAAGGTTTCTAGGGAATTCTATCTCCTAACCTGAGGGCACAAGGCACAGCTAAACTAAAAGGAGAAAGGCAGGGGGGAACTGACCTTGAAAGCTGAGTGTTTACCGAAGGCTTGAGTTTCTCTCTCTAGAATTTTTGGCAGAGCTTCGCTAAGACAGATGATCGCACAAGAAGAAAGGGCTCTGGCCTTGGGGTATTTATAGGCGATGGACTCCGGGCTTGGGCCTGGATTCCGGGCCTCCGGATGGACCGCCATCATTACACACCGCGCCTTCGCCCAACCAGTGATGCCGCCCACGGACAGCCAACCATCACGCGCCACGTGCCCCCCCCAACGGCTATATCCTGACGTTACATATTCCAACGGCTATATTTCCAACGGCTATGTTCTGGAAGCCCCCGGGTTTTCTACTCCACTCCGCTACGTCAAGGAGAGCCCCCGGGTACACCTACCCAGAGACGCCCCCGGGTTGTGCCCCACACAACACATATCAGATGCCTTCGGGATCACTCCTTCAGAAACCCAAGGCTTCATATCAGGGCACCCCTCGGGGATTCCCCCTCAGCATTGCAAAACCGGGTAGCCCCCGGGGAGTTGCCTCATTGACGGATAACCCATGGCACACAGGTAATGGGAGCCCTCGGGTATCTTCATCACCAACTAATCAACAAACAGTGGACCTCCCGGTAACAACTCCACTGCTGCCCTCATCCGGCAGGCCCTCGATCCCCGGATTGAGGGGCTCCCCTTCGGCGCCCCCAGGACATCAACAGCAAGCCTTCGGCTAATCAACACATGAGCCCTCAGAAAAGGAAGAGCCTTCGACATTACCGTTGTTCTCCATTTTTGACCAAGGTTTCACATTTTCGATTCATCATTGGGGGAATTCGATGCACTCTTTTTCCCTCATTAGGATTTTTTCCCCCAGGGTTTTTCCTAACGAGGTTTTTAACGAGGCATCCCCCCAAAATGAAACGAAAAGCGTCAGCCTTCGGCCCACAACAGTAACACAACTACTCTACTCCTTTTTACCACTTTACAAGTGCCTCAAGGAGTGGAGGACCCCCTCGGGAAAATCATTAAATTACAAAATTAGTGAAATTCCAACAAACGACAAAGCAAGCCCTCAAGTCCCGACATGTGGGTAACTGAGGGACTGCCTTCGGCAGGGACATAAAAGCAACAACTCCTCACCAACTTCAGAGATCACGACAGGACAACATCAAAGGGCAAGCACAAATTACTCCTTTTCCCTCAAATACCTTTCGGCAAAAGGAGTGAGGGACTCCTGATGGAGTATATGGCCCGGGAACACCCGGCCCACAGACTCCTACTACTCCAGTAGAGGCCCAACAGGCCCAGAAGGCCCAACAGGCCCAAATCACGACGCCCAGAGTACCAAGCAGCCCGCGATACGCACCAGGGGTGCCTTCGGCCCCCTGGCCGAAGGCTCCAAACTATCAAAGCATGGATATTTCGAATAAACAGAGGAACTGGGAGAAAACGGCGAAATCAGTAGCCCTCGGCACCTGGAGCCCTCGGCACTCAGGGCCCCTCAGCACTAAGAGCCCTCGGCTAGTCCTCTGCAGCTGAGGGCACCTCTACCGACATGATATCCGCCTCACATGCGTGCAGATCATCGTACCCTGTACAGACGTCCCATCCAACAGCCGCATTAAATGCGGCCACATGCGGCTGCCAACGCCAACCAGTTGAGGTGACTCCTCGGCCAATAGGCGCTTGACACGTGTCCCCGTCCGGCATTTATTGCTACTATAAATAGCACCCCATTTCCCCATTTGTAACCACGCTGAAAACGCTCCACATTTATAATACACTCTCTCTCTACACTTACTTGCTCTGACTTCTCTCTAAGTTATTCCCCGCAATAACCCTTCGGATATATACCCCGGGTAGACTATCCATCACATATTTCGGAAATTTTTCCAACTTTTTTTGGATAAAGGGGAAATTAGACTCCGTATAAATGGCAAAGTAATGTACCTATCTATTTGAAGCAAAACAAAATATGTTTAGCAATTAAACATTCATCAAGCAAAACAAACCTACTCAAAGAAGCATCTGAATAAGAAATAAAAAATCTATCATACGTGTGATACAATGCCTTCAACAATTACTCATATTTTTTTTTTATAAAAATGTAGTCATTCAGGGCCTTCCAAATAGAGTAAATGGCGCAGTAAAAGGCTAATAGTACCTTCTTTAACCTTGATTTTTTTATAATCGAGGTGTCGGAGATTGCCCTCTCATAATCCTGGATTCTATGAACTACCCTCCAAAGCCTCTAGGCAGTTAAATCCTGATTTGATCACAGTCAGCCTCGTCGGTACTGGTTCCATAGGACGAATCTAGCAGGACTTACATCACCTACCAGCCCGGCTGCATTATGATCATCTCCTTTCTCAGCCGCTGAACAACTACGTGAAGGTAGGAAAAATCATTGGGAGCAAGACCTCCCTCATCTTCTCTTGGTGGGAATTGAACCCAAGACCTCTCACAAAGGAGAGACTTGAGGGCGGATGGTCATCCATTGGACTACACGCACTAACCCTTCATTAACCATGAATATTTGTACTGTTTGATGCACATCTTGAGAGTACTAATAAATAGGATTGCGCGCTAATTTCTGCTTAATTCAAAGGAATGAAATTCATTAAGAAGATTGCTTTGGGGTAAGCATCGGCCCAATATAAGACCGGTATTGGATTGGATTTCGATTTTTAATTAGATAGAGTATTACTTTTTCAGGAAAAAAGGTTTGATGGCTATTAATTTTTTTTTTTTGCTCGAGCTATTAAATTTTTGAACCTAAATATTTTCTTGAATAAATATTCAAATAAAACCAAATGTAAATTAGTTCTTAATACATTTTAGATAGAATGTAAATTTAAAAATAACAATATTAATTAATTAATTAATTACGATCCAAATGGTCTAAGTCTAAATTTTCTAGATTTGAACGGGGGACTGAAAACTTCAAAAAGTTTGGACCGGTGATCGAACCGGTGTGTAGCAGGTCCCGAGCCACAAGCGATCTAATTCAGTCCTGTTTCTGGTGCGAATTACAATATGCTCACCCCTTGTTGTACATATGGGAATCATCATTAGGAAATGTTGATTCATCATAAATTCATAATAGATTTTTTAAGAGAAAATGGCTTATATTAAAATCATAGAATCCAACCGAGCAACAGCAAGACCAAACACAAGAGACAAGAAAGAAAGACCGGAAAACATTACTCAACCATACGCCTCGAAACCAGACTCAGAAACTATCACCCACTCAGGAGCACTAGGATTCGATAATCCCCGCTTGGACAGTTGTAAGCCAATCATGATCAACGATGTATTTTCGTCACTTATCCTATGTTGTACTTGCCACATGACAAAAGTAAAAATCAAACAAGAGTCACCCTGGATAAAGACAACCCGGTAAAAACATAATACAAACGACTTAGAAAAAAGAAAAACAAAGTACGGTAACGAAACGAACTTCTTTGCGCATCCCAACTTCTACTTCCTGCACTCACAATTGACCATACATGGACTTTTTATCCCGGGATTCGTTTTCTTATGTTTCGTTCCCAACATATATGTGACATACTAAAGCCTGAAATAGTGAAATGAATGATCCTACTATTCATGCTAATAATTACTTACTGAATTCATTTCAACTTGGAATACAAATAACTACGATTAAGTAATTATTATTATATTATTATTAGTACTATTCAATTATTATTATTATATTATCAAGAAAATAAATTTAACTTTACTGTAGAGTACATTGTTACGTTGTGACATTGTTTGACACTGTTTTGCATTGTTTTGATGTAGATAATTTGCGTAATAACGAAATGAGAAGAAGTGTGAGGTTAATTTTGAGACTGCCCAAAAAAGAAAGTGAGAAGTTAATTTCGGGACGGTGGGAGTATTAGGTAAATGTTATTACTACTCAATTATTATTAATATTAAGTAATTACTATTACTACTCAATTATTATTATTATTCAAAATTATTATTATTATTCAATTGACTCATGTATTGCACGAGTGAGAAATGAACTTAACAGTCCGTTGGTAACTTATGTCTTCATCTTATCAATATTATCATCCAATTTTTTTTCCATGTTATTTCATATTTTTCGGCTTATCAGCCAACCTTTTCCCCAAACATGTAATTTTTTATTTTGCGCACTGAATTGTGTAATACGGAGTAATAAAAAGGTAAAGTTGGGGTTACTTTTCTGACAGTATTAGATGAATTTACCGTAAAGGACCATTTTAGCTGTTTTCATATACTATCCTCCGTTCCATAAAAGTTGCAACAGTTTGACTTTCACGTTTGCCAACGCGCAACTTTGACTGTAATTATATTAATTTACGTATTAGTAAACATTAAAAAAAGTTAATATATTAGAAATTTACATTAATACAAATTTATTAATATTTATACATAATATTTGTATTATATATATTATTAGAAAATCGTAGTCAAAGTAAGGTGTGTGAATAGTGCAGAAATTCCAATGTTGCAACTTTTATGGAACGGAGGAAGTAATTTTTTTCTTTATTTCATTAATAAAAAATATTTTAAATACATTTTATTCATAAATCAATAGAATCAGCCAATCGAGCCACAACTTCAAAAATTTCAGCAGAATCAATCGATTAAACCAATTTCAGTGTTACTAAACAAGCTCTAGATGAGAGACTGCACCAAAAGTTAGAACTTTTTTAGACTTTTCAGGTTTAATTTAAAACTTATACGAGTAACATTTTATAGAATTTTTTTTTACAATAAGACACCAAATTATTGTTTGTAGAGTTAATTTTAAAATTTAGTAGGGGCTCATGGCATCTCAAATGTGAATCTATGGTTGTTTTTTAAATACGAAGCAATTGTGAAGGTATTGTTAAGGAACAAATTTAATTAAATAATGGTAGATTCTATGGTACCCTTAAGGTACCATACATTTGTCCACATGGACCAATCAGAATGATGTAGTTGAATTATTTAAATTTAAATTAATAATGATGTAATGATTTGAACCAATCAAGTGAGTGATAGGTACGGTACCTCATTTTTTAAATGGGTACCGGAGTTGTCACCTTAAATAATTGAAAAGAACAAAGTAGTCTATCAATACCCTTCCCAACGCGTGTAAGGTGTATTGTCATATTTTCTCTAAGCGTGTAAATGAGTCCATCTGAACCTGAACTTATACTTGTTCCTAAGTTAATCAAACTTGCATATGGGCGACTTAGTTCAATGGAAAAAAGATAGACAATTCAATCACATTGATCTGATTCTATGACTGCAAGTTCATTTCCCGCAACCTTGATATTAAAAGAGGAGATGCGCTGATTTATAGAGCCATGTTAAACAGGAATTCACCTTTTCTCACCAGTGGGTGAAAAATAAATTTTCAAACAAGAAAGTGAAGAAACAAAACAAATACGAAGTAAAACACAAACTAAAATTTTGAAAGAGGAGCCTCAAACCTGGGTCACGCTATTTGGCTCACAATACGCTTCCATCTCATGAACGATACCAATTGAAAAAACATTGAACTTTGATACCTGGTGACATCGTTCTGACGCGACATGCTTGCATCTCATCCGTTGGCCTAGCTTCGTCACACAGATAATGGTAGGGTTATGACTCAACTTGATTGCCCTTTTGTTGTTTTGTTCTGTTCTATGAAGTTCTTTCCCGGGCATAGGCGCTCCGGAGTTCTATTCGAAACAAAGTAAGAAGAAATATTTAATATTCACCCATATTGTAGCAGTTCATCCTCCTCCAGAACCATCACCATTCGAGAAAGAGTTTTGTGGAAAGGATTTATCCCCATATAATTTATTATGTAGTAGTACTACTTTTATTTTAATTCGAGTAGGTTTGGTTGGGATATTTGGTTATTTGGAGTACTTTTATTGACGTTGGTTCAATTTCGATCGTTTTAGACTTAAAATTGCCCGTTTCATGTCTAGCGAGTCATATTGCTTTGTATGAGGTGGTAGACTCTATGTCTATTCTCATGCCTTACGATCGAATACGTAAAAACTGTCTCAAGGTTGTCTTTTTGGTTTTTTCAATATTAACATAAAAAGCCGCTCTTTTATATTCAAAAAAAAATGTTACAAATAGAATAAGGAGCCGTTTACTTTGACGTTAACTTTGCTGCTAGCTTAATAAGGCTTGTGAAGTAAACGATTTTCACGGCTAACTCTCTGCTTAGTAATACTCCAGGGCCTCTTAGGTCGTCGGTTAGTAAAGTGACGCCCCCCCCCCCGGTAAAATACACCGTACAGCCGGTTGTACGGTGCTCACCGTACAGCTGGTTTTTTTTTTGTAATTAAACCCCCGCGATTCAGCCCTGCAACTCACGATTCAACCCTGCAACTCACCAACGAAGACGACGAAGGACGGCAGATCGAAAGTCTGGTGCAACTCACGAACGCAGATCGCCGATAGCCAAGCTTCCAAGTGCAACTCACAAGTCACGACTGAGATTCTTAGCCGACGCAGAGACGGCTCTACCCCTGCGAGCGATTCCTATTCTTCACTCTATTTTTCCATCTCTGCTAATTACTGGCCTGCTACATGGGCTGCCACATTTTTTATACAAAATGAAATTATGAGCATAGTAGACATTTCGAATGAGTTTTATGATTGCTCATTTTGTAATTTATGTATACTCATTTGATATTTGCTTAATACTCATTTTAAATGAAATAAGTTTTGTTAAACTCAAATGAGTATAACGCCCAAAAAGAATGAGCACACACAAATGAACCTTTTAGTTATTTGATACTAACTTGTAAGTTATGTATGCTCATTTTAAAATGTTGAACATTTCAAATGTATCGTACTAAACGAAAAAATAATAAACCAAAAGTGATATATAAGGTTTGAAACAGAGATCACCGATTCTCACCGTTAGGCTCCTAATACTCAAAAGAACAGGATTGAAGCTCATCAAAGTTGCATAAATGCTCATTTAGGAGAATCCATGATTTTCACAAAAATTACAATTTTGCCACCGGCTGTACAGTGATCACTGTACAGCCGGCTGTACAGTATACGCGTTCCCCCCATGTTTTATTTAATGAGTAAGTTAAGCTTTTTGTATTGACCAAAGTATCCCTAGTTTTCTCAATGTCAGATTTTTATTTACATTCATGCCACATATAGTTCAGATATCTCCGTGAACATTGCGTAGAAGACCAAAGTGTAGAAACATTGCGTAGAAGACCGTTCACCATTGTATCTGGCCGATCTTTCTCTGCCGACCTTCCTACCGGTGATTATGTCGCAACCATCGCAGGTAAATTGTACTTGTATTTGTGAAGTGATTTTAGGTCAAGCTTATTCCATACTGCGATTTCTTCTTTTAGATTTGGGTTTGAAATAGGTTAAAATTGCCTATTCCGACTTCGAGCTTAGCAGAAGTGACAGAGAAAATGCTTCCAAAATCTGCCACGCCCATTCTTGTTGGATGATTGATGATGTTTTAAAAGTTTGATATGTGCTTCAGTCCCTTATCTCTTTGCCTTCGATATGTTGCTTCTATTTATATGTTTTCTGTGTATTTATATGTTCTATTTGTGCTGTCTAGTCTGGTAGAGGTCGTTTCTTCACTTATTTGACAGCATTTTGAAAACATTTTCTTTGCTTTGTATGTTATCCATGTTTCCTTTGTTATTTTCTAATCATAACATTGCCTATTTATTCATTGTTTTCTTTGTTACCTACTTTTCAGCCCGATAAAGCTCAGTACGGTAGAGATCGTTTCCTTACTTATTTGACATCATTTTCTTTGCTTTGTATGTTATTCATGTTTCCTTTGTTATATTGTAATCATAATATTGCCCATTTATTCATTGTTTTCTCTGTTTCTCTATGTATATTTAAAATAAACTGAAATGAGGTTCAATTTATAAATATTTTTATAATGATGTTTAGTTTTTAAAATGCTTATCATGATGTTCTTTAGTTGCATTCCTGTAATATTATTTTGTTACTCTGGTCATGACTCTTTAGGGGCTTTTTTGAGAAAACATGACAAAGGTAATGGTATTATTAGGACTAAGAACTTGGCGATGTACATTGCAGCAGTTAGCCTAGATTTCCTCTGCATTGTTGTTCCTGTCATTTTATGTTACGTGGAGATGGGAGCGATGGAGATGGGAGCAGCTTCTTCGATGGAGATGCGAGTGGCTTCAGATGGAGATGGGAGCGATTGTTTTGTATGTTACGTATAAGGCAATAGAAATGAAATAAAGTAGGTTTTAAGGTTATTTATGTCATTTTAAATATAAGATATGTTTTAAGGTTGATGAAGTAAACAATTTTTTGATTATTAAAACCCAAGCTTAATAAACACTTCTTTACTAAGCAATGCTTAGTAAGACACGATTAAATAACCACCTTTTATTAAACAAGTAAACGGCTCCTAAATATTGACATAGTCCTTGTAATTAAACGCTAAAATAGAAAACATATTGCAAATATATGTATATGTGTGTGTACACACACACCAAGCCTCACGAGCCCGTTTGCGAAATACAAGTCTAAATTATACAAACTTGAATTAAGCTTTTTAAATACTCGAGTCGAACCGAACTCGAGTCAAATTTGAATATGATTGAACTTGAATCAGGTTTTGACCAAATTATCCATGAGCAACTCGCAAATGGTTTGACTCATTTACATCCCTACTAAATTTCTCCTATAATGTCTGAGATTGTGAAAAAAGTTAACTCTTGTAATCTCAATGCATCTACAATTATTTTCTCTCTAAAAAAGATGTCATCTCTCTATAGACCTATCCATCATTTATCTTCCCTTTCAACAATGTTATAGATTTATAGTGTTGTTTTTAGGCAATAGCGCACAGTATGATACGAAAGAGAAGAAGTAAACGATCTCATCTTTATTCATGAATAAGTATAGCTTTATATACAAAGAGAGTACTGAACATTAAGGATCAGTATGCTAAAGATGGGAACAAAATAAAGAGTCTTAAATGTAATAGAATCCATGCATAAATAAAATACTATTGCTTAAAAAACATATCTTCCAAAAATACCGCCCAATACATGTTAGTATATATGTCCTAGCGACAATCGCTTTTTAGAGATATATGTACTTGATCACATTTAGTATTATATATTTGATATATACGATATTACACATTGATGATTAACTATTTCGATTGTCAATATCTTATTCATAACTGTGTTCCCTTGGATTTATGTTGTCAATAAGTAAGTGATAGCTTATATGATATAACATAAGGTCCTAAAATAGTCCCAATCAATGATCATCAAGAAAGGGATATTGATGATATGCGATAAGATTGGTATGTGGACTGCATCATACTTTTAGAAAGTATAATTGATCTCACAACTATGAGTTCATGTAATTCATGATGGTCACATAGATATTTTAGAGAATATTGGCATACCCATCGAGAACCCATTTGATAAGTTCTATTCATGTGTCTATGGAATTATCGGCGTATAGAGTAGTGTAATAGTCCTCCGACTTGAGGTCAATACGTACTACATGTGCGGAGTGATGTACTTTGACCATGACCAACGCTTGCACTGCAATTGGGGTAGATACGACATGTGTTGGGTGCATCACGAAGCACATGGAGTAGAAGTTGAGCCAAGAAAAGATTCATTCCTCGTAATAGATTAAGAGAGAACATTCTACTTCTCATATCTAGATGGATCATAAAGTCATTGGCCAATGCCATGATATATTCGTTTTGGATATCGGATATGATCGTCTAGAAAGATTGAGAGACAGAGACTAAGTTATTGGAATAGACACAATATCATGTTCTTGAGTTAGTTGAATGTTCGTTGAATGAAAGGACCGTATCACTATGAGCTCTATATTACAGGGAGTTTTATTAGTCCTCGCAAACGTCCTTATATATTGAGTTTGTCTGGTAAATCGTCTAGGGATTCTACTAAGACCTTAATTTAAGTCCGAGAGTAGATAACTTTAAATGAATAAATGAGTAAAGTGCAGAGATTTTGATTTGTGTTTATTGTAACTCAATCTTTCACTTTTAGTTCAAGAGAATAACTTAATTAATTCGAAATTAAGATGAGAGCCTTGGTACGGTCCTCAATTCAAAATGAGAGCCTTGCTGAGAGCCTTGGTACAAGTGTCGATATAGTAATAAATTCCGATAAAATACGGTCCTTAATTTAAAATACACCTTAATTCAAAATGCCCAACTTGCGTAGGAGGGTGTGAAATTGAGTCTTGCTGAGAGCCTTGGTAAAGATATCAGCAAGTTGCACAGTCGTAGGAACGTAATTTGGAGCAATAAGCTTAGCTATTCATTGAATAGCATCACGAACGAAGTGACAGTCAAACTCTATATGCTTAGTGCGCTCGTGGAACACATGATTATAAGCAATATGGAGTGCAGACTAACTATCACAAAGGAGTGGAATAGCTTGAGGATGTTGAACGCCCAAGCTTAACAGGAACCCCTTCAACCATTTTAATTCACAAGTGGCAGCAGCCATGGAGCGATATTCAGCTTCGGTGGAGGAACGTGCAACTGTAGATTGTTTCTTGGCTTTCTAGAAAACCGAAGAGTGACCAAGAAACACCAACCAACCGGAGAGTGAACGACAAGTAAGCGGGCAAGCAGACCAGTCAGAATCACACCAACTAGTAAGAGTGGGGTCACTATCAGCACG